CCACGGGACTGATTTGAATAGGCCAACTGGTTGTTGAAGTTGGGTTCTCTCCCTCTAAGAGGAGCTGGGTTTGGTTGTGGAATATGTAACACCACTATCCAGGAAAACCTCTACTCTGGGCTNCCACGGGACTGATTTGAATAGGCCAACTGGTTGTTGAAGTTGGGTTCTCTCCCTCTAAGAGCAGCTGGGTTTGGTTGTGGAATATGGAACACCACTATCCAGGAAAACCTCTACTCTGGGCCAGGTTTTTCTCCAGCTAGCTGATCACTGCTTCTCCAAGGCCATAAGGAAGGATTATGGCGGCTGAGCTGTCCTACCCTGGGTTTGGGAGCAGGCACTCAGTGGCCTCAGAAATCTTCCTGTCAGGACTTCTCATTGTCCACAACTTCCATGTCTTCACCACCTCCCAAGCTGGGGGCTGTCTTGCATCTGATCGCCAAGAAGAGACCAGGGATGGTCTGAGAACCTTCAAAACCAGATTAACACATGAGAATTCACCCATGGCCACCAGGAGACAGAAAGGGCTGGTGAGGGAAGTGGAGGTCCAAGTGGAAACGGTGGATACTTATAAACCCCTTGCTGTACTTACTGGCCCAGCCACTTCTATTGCTACAGTTGGTAGAAATTTCTTTCCTCAGTACAAATATTACAAGCCTGAAGTGATATCCCATATCTGACATGATTTTCATTGGGAGAATTGGGCCACCTTGCCAGGACAACAAAGACATGTAACTCTCAGAACTGCAATGGTGGAGATGGTCTCCTCCCGCTAAGTCCCTTTTCAAGGGTCTCCTCTCTTCAAGTCACAGAGGCAGAGGCCTGCTGCCTTCAATGCTTCCAGTGGAGAGCCCCAGTTCCAAGATCATTTGCCCCCAGTTCCATGTGGCATTTCCTGCAGGTGCTCAGCATTTTGGGGACCACATAGTATAAGTGACCTGGCACTAGAATAGGGCCACTATGATTCCATGATAATAATGTTACTGAATTGACACTGGCACATTGGAGAAGTCAACCTCCATTCTGAAGTTCAGCCCCTCTACTGATCTGGTGGGTTCTTCTCATTATCAAACCATTTCTTTGTGCTATGGGTGGCTGGGAGAAAAGAGCTGTTCCATCCCAGCTGGGGACCTCTCCCCAAACCTTTTTGGCTTTGAAGCTGTCCAGGATGCCCCTCTTGACTCTGCCTTTTCTATCAACTGTTACCTCAGCTCTGTCTCCTTGGCAGTTTGCTGTAGACTGGTTGGCACCCGGAATATTCTTGTCTCACTTTGGGATAAAGAACAGAACCAGATGCTACCACAGTGGATATTGGAAGCCAAATTGTCCAGATGTGACAGTTCCTTAAGTAGAATCTTAAGATGGGAACACATTGGCTTTTTTTTGTTTGCGTTTCTGTCAATTTACATCTAATCATAAAAGCTTATATAAACATTTTTTCTCTTTCTACCTCGCCCCATTATTTGCACAATTTTTTTTTGTTAAGTCCAAACATAATTTGAAATGAGGTAGGTAATTTCTATGTATTTCTGCCTTAGTCCTTTTTGGTGACTAGTTGAGAATTATGCCAATTTGAAAAACAAATATTCCAAATGGAGCTGGAGATGGACATCCACAGGGTGTAGGTCAACTCTAGCCAATGCTTTTCAGTTGGCTATTTTCTCAATCTCATCCAGATCGTCGGTGTCCAATCTGTCTATCTTCTTATCTGCAAAGAAATTAAACCAGAGAGAATCAAAAAGGGCCACCTTGGACAGTTTATTTCAGCTACTGTTGCAACATGAGGACAACCTACAAACCTCTGTTTTATCTAAAAGCAGTATCCAACTACTGGCCAAAATGCTCCCTCCTCATCTGACTGATGAAACCTTGAAGCAACTGAGCATGGCATCGAGCACCACATGACAACCCAGACGTGCTCATGTGAGGGCTTTGGCCCCAGGACGAAAGAATGGGCCCTGCTCTTCTCTCCCATCCCTACTTCTCTAACAAAACCAGGAGGGAGATGGAAGAGGAGAGACCCAGGCCTTTGCCCAAGAGCCCTGGGCTTGCCCATTTAATGGCCAATGGGCCACAGAGGGCACATGCTCTGGGACACTCACTGAAATGTTCTTCGATCCTTTTGAGAATGTTCATGCTGTGCTTGCTGTCTACCATGTTCACGGCCAGGCCTCGCTTGCCAAAGCGCCCCGTGCGCCCAATCCGATGCAGGTATGTCTCATTGTCTGGATTCCCATCCTTGTCCACTGGCAGGTCAAAGTTGATAACCACAGACACCTGTTCAACATCGATACCTACAGTGCAGGAAGATGGAGGAGACACAGAGAAAGCAGACCAAAAAAAAAAAAAAGCACATGACACCCACAGTCTAATCAGTGAGAGTCTAGCACTAGCAGCTGTTACCCACAAAACAAGATTTTACACCCTATGGGTATAAAAGAGTACAACCTGAATGGACATTACCAAAGGATCAGATCTACACAAAGTGATTCTCTGGTCTGAAGGACTCAAAGATTTCTCCCAGACCCACCTGGAGGATGGTCTGGAGAAGAGGGGGTTCCATCTCAAACTGCCTGATGCTATTAATTTGCCACAGCTAATACTGGAGCTACTTAAGCAAACAGTAGCAAATATGAGGCAAGGAGGAAAACCGAGGAGCCAGAACCCTGGATCAGGGAGCTGAGCAAGTTCTCTTCTCCTACAGCTTAAGATCAGGAGATCTCCACAACATCAAGAACAGAAAATTCCAAGAGGATCACCTAGCTGCTGACCCCAGACAAACCACCTGCAGGCTCAGACATCATATTTGTACCCTGGGGGGAATGACCACGTGCTCAGCATTGCCATGGAGGGCAATCCAATTCCCAGCAGACCATTTCTGCAAAGGCAGAGGGAACTGCTGATTGAGGCTCTGGGAAAACCCAAGCTGCCCTTGCTAGAAAGGGGATCACAGCCTCCCTCCTGTTCTTTCCTAAGCCCCGAGGCCTCCACATGGGACAGTCTCTTCTCACCTCGAGCACACACATTGGTAGTCACCAACACTTTCTCCTTGCCCTCTCGAAAACGCTCAATCACGGCAGCTCTCTGTTCCACCATCATTTCGCCACTCAGAAGGGCCACCTGGTGGCCTTCTTTGGATAGTTCAGCTGCCAGCCAACCAGCTGTTTTGCGGGTCTAGAGTGAAAAGAATTTGATTAAATGAAGATACTAGAAACTGGTTTCAATCATTAAGTTAAATGAAGATTTCATCCTTGAATTAAACAACTAAGAGTCAAGTCACTGAAATCTTTCAAGATGTTTCAAAAATTATCACTGGGGCATTTAGGATGTTTTCCCTAAAGACAGACTGAAAAACCTAGAAAAGGCCTCCAGTGCATTGGGTGGATCCTCTTTGGTGGATTGAGAGGAAACTCAAACAAGAACTGTGTAGCCAGGGTAGGTGTGGATGCATGCTGAGCAACCACATCAGAGATAAGGACATCATTAAAGTAAGAGGCTTTAAAAGGCAAAACAAAAACACTTTGAAGTCCTATGTTAAAATAATAATGATAATGATAATAATAACAATAACAACAATAATCATAATAAAAGAGGCTTTGTAAGTAATACTAATCTAAGTACTAAGACCAGTCAAGTTCCATTTTTCCTGCTTCTGCCCAAAATGTATCTCCCCCTTTCCAAGTCAATGAGATCCCTGGGGGAAGGGGAAACTTTCCTGAAACTTTCTTCTCATCATCAGCAACACTTGTTTAGTAACTAAAATGAATTCCTGACTGAAAAGGAGAGGACCTAATTTTTTCCTGTTCCCTGTCACACCTGTGTCTTGCCGAGTGCTACTCACGTGACAGAAGATCATGGCTTGTGCAATGGTGATGGCCCCATAGAGATTACAAAGGGCCTGGAACTTCTCATCCCGGTTATTGCACAAAACATAATACTGCTTAATGGTATCTAACGTTTCCTCTTCTCGCTTCAGTTTGATGATGTTTGGGTCTGGGACAACCTTCTGAGCAAACCTCCACACAGAGTCTTCGAAGGTGGCAGAGAAAAGCAGCATCTGACAATCTTTAGGGAGCATTCTAGAAGGCAAACCCATGCACACTCGTCAGCATCCTGAACTGCCAAGTTACAGGTCAGTGAACGGCCCTAACTTGCTATTGTATTTCTTATTTCTCAGCCTGTATCTAGAAGCATGGAAGAGGACAGAATTAGAAGTAGATTATAAGCAAGCTATGTCACCCTCTAAGTACCTAGTTTTAATATTCTGACTGCAGGTCAAAAGAAAAATTCCTGTGCAACATCTAAGTCTCAGACATAGAAAATACTGAATTAGGAAGTCAGGATGATCAGAATCCCAAACCCAGATTTAACAATGATTCGCTAGGTGTATGAACTTGGACAAGTCACTTAATTTCTATCTGGTTTTCCATATCTATAAAAAAAGCAAAAATAATTCAGCCTCTTTGTTCACGAGGAAGTGGTGAAGATCAAATGAATTAAGAGACCTTTTACCTATCAAACTGAAAATAATAAAAGATGGAAATCTTCAGTGGTGGAAGGCTTTGGGATAACAGACATATCAATACATTGATGGTGGAGATGAATTGTTCCAATCATTTTGGAAATTCATATAGAATTACATGATAAAAGTCACTACATTGTTCATATCCTTTGACCCAGGATTGCCGGGCATAGTTCCCAGAGAGGTCATAGGGAAAAACAAAACAAAACTAGAAACAAAACTGGATATCCATGGAAGGATGGCTGAATAAATTGTGTTCTATGAATATGACGGAATATTACTGCATGTAAGAAATGATGACATACCAAGAACTCAAATGTGTGAACACTTGTGTGAACCTAAGGAGAACGAAGAAAACAAAACCAGAACAACAGTATCCAAAATAATGTAAATAAAAACTGCAATCAAAGTCATCGAGTGCAAATTATCCACAATGACTCATGTGGGTCACAAAGAGTTCTATTGCCTGAGCAGCAGCAGCAGAACACCAGGGTGTAGGTGACAGACAGACAGGCGCACAGACAGACAGTAGTGGAAAAACAAAAGGCATGAATAAAAGTTGAGAGGAAAAAATGAAATGCAGTGTAAGCCAGCCCAGTTTATTTTCCCTCCAGGGAAAGCATCACCACAGACAGCTCCCTGCAGGCTGAAAATGGCAGCAGGCAGCCACAGTGTTCAGCACACAGGATTCTATAAGCTAAGAGCTGGAAGGGTCCTTCCAAGTTATAGAGGACGGTCCCTCCATTTCCTTTATCAATGAAGAAATTAGCCCAGAGCATTTATTATTCAAGATCACCCACCTGACTGGTGGCCAAGCCAGAACTGATCTTACTCTCCTGTTAAACACAAGATGGCAACTAGCTTCAAGAGAACAGAAAGGGCCCCTCCCCCCCAATCTTTCTTCAGAGTATGATCAAGCTGCTGCCAGCAGGACCCTTTGGCCTCCCCTTGCCCGACGGCCAACCTCGGGAGTTTTCTCCTCCTCCTGCTGTAGCACATGCTCCAGAACCGTCAGTGGGGAAGGGAGGGGCTGACAAAGTGGGCAGCCTTGTGCTGTCACTTGCAGGGGACTAGGGTGCAAGGAAGGGCAAGGGGACCCCCCCCCAAAAAAATCACATAAATGAAATGCTAATGGAAACTCTAACTGTGGACCAGACAGAATAAACAAATCCTTGTATTTATAATGAATCCTTTTACTTTGGCAGCAGTCATAAAGATTAAGATGGAGTGAAGAGTCTCACTTATTCTGTCACTATATCAACAGATATCACAACTAAAATACTCCCAAGGAATACAATCTGCAATCCATAATGCTACAGGGAACTACTCTGGTCTCTCAGTAAGGGACCACCCTCACGGCTCAGCAAATGCTTCAGTGTCCAGGTCCCAGGGGAGAGAAGGTAGCTTTGGAGCAGAGCTAGTTTCCTCGAGGAAGATTTTCTCCCCCTATTCCCATCAGCACCTCGTACCTCTGGATGCGGATACTCTGATCCTGGTGGCCTTGGGTGGCTATCATCACGTCAGCTTCATCTAAAACAAACACCTTGATCTTTTTGGGATCAATGAATTTTAGTTTGGAGCACCAATCCAGAACTGTGCCAGGGGTACCAATTACGATCTGCTCACTGATCTTCTGGCCTCTTTCTACTGTTGAAGCAAAAACAAGTTCTCCATGAGGTTGCTTTTGGTCACCACACAGTTTGAGTTTTTCCCTGGAGTCCCACAGAAGGATCATGTGGCCCCAGCACAAAAAGAAAACCCACTGATGGGAAGGCTGGATTTGCAAGGTGGCATGTAAGTCTACAGATGGAAACACAAGAGGCAGAACCAAGTTGTCCCTTGCCCTCTGGAGCCAGCTTCCACATGCCGATACTTTATCCCTGGGAGAGACCACCGCCACCCTAGCTGAGGCCCAAGCTACTTCACATCTGGATGACTGCATGAGAGACGCAGCATTTAATGCCTCCAAGCCACCGGGCACACTGCTTTCAGATTCATCTTTTCCTATTACTTACCAGGCTGTCAGTTCAACAGTGAAAGAATCTGTAATAGGTTTAGCCATTCTGAAGAGCAATTTGGAATTATGTCACTTGAGAGGAAAAAAGGAGTGACTACAATGACCCAAAACTCCACTGCTAGGCAAATACTCCAAGTAGTTGAAAAGAGGAAAGTTCCACATGCACCAAGATTGACAGAAGCTTTTTGTGGCTAGATGTGTTCTCTGGCCTCTGCTGCTACCTCATCCTGGACCCTCCCTCAGGCCTGGGGCCTCCCCCGCCAGGTCAGGTCCCAGCTATGAGTTCCGCTGCCAACTCTGTTCCTGTGGGACTCCAAAAGCATGGCCCCAGTTGAGGTACCCCCAAATCCCCCCCCCCACTCCTCAGGATTTCAGTTCCCATCTGTGTGCTCTTTCCTCATTACAATGGAAGCTCTGTGAGGGCAAGGCCTTTCTTTTGCTTGTACTTATGTTCCCAAAGCTCAGCACCACACCTGGCACCTACAGGAACGTAATAGAACGTTACTGGACTACAAGAATCAATGACAACTGGAAAAGAATTCAAAGCAGAATAAAGAAAACAGAAACAGAAAACACATAAAATGACCATCTCAACGCAAAGAACAGAAAATCAAAATTAAATTTAAAATTTAATTATCATGACCAAGCTAGGCCCTAAGAAAATGCGTCTCTCTCCCTCCTTTTTAGAAGAAATCACAGGTATGGATTGTGTGGATATTGCATAAACCATTAGACATGAATTATGTGTTGATTGGTGACACATTCCCTGCCCTCATATTCTAATGGGAGGAGATAAGATGAATAGAAAGTAGCTTTGGGAGAAAGGGTATGAGCAGCTGGGGCAGGGGGGAGGTTTTGTGATCGTGATCCCAAAGCTAAGCCTTGAAAGAAATCATGGGTTCTCTAGGGTGGAGATTAGGAAGCAGACACCAGAGCAAACGCACCCAGGGACAGAGGGTAGTGTTTGAGGAACAGCCAACAAGGCAGTCAGGTGGCTGACACACAGAATGCAAGGAAGAGAACAAGGGATACAAAGGAGGAGAAGGGAGAAAGGGGCCAGATATGGGAATGTATAGTTGACCTTAGTGTGAACAGGAAGCCAATGGAGTTTACTGAGCAGGTGGATGGTTAACACAATCAGCTTGTGCTTTGTGATATCATTAGAATATAGAACTTCAGGTTTTTGAGAAAACTCCTTCTTCCAATGCAAGTGGGCACCTTTCCTGAAAAGGCTAAATGACTTGCCCAGGGTTATGCAGCCAGTACAAAGTCTTCTTGGTTTTGAGACTGGCTCTCTGTCCACTACTGTCATGTACCTCTTTGACATGAAGGTAAAATAAAAGAAAAACAAAGCGAGAAAAAAAGTTTTTAAAAAATGAAAGAACCATCTGCAACAACTGCAGATTTTGTACTTTACCAGTGCTTGGCCTGCTCTAACCGATCAGATCAGTCTCTTTACTATCCTCCATCCACGTGACACTTGTTCCTTCCTGCCTGAGACCCTGTCAGTGTCATTTCTTTGGCCTAGAATGCCCTTCTCCCTCCTGCCTGCACAGGCAAATCCTACCCAACCTTCCAGAACTAGCTCAGCTTCTACCTTGCTCGCTGAAAACTTCCTGACTAGTTCAACCCAGATTCTTTTTGAAGAAGACAAGTGTAGTCTGATTATGCTTTGTAGGCCAATGAGCCAAGGAATTACTTTGTGTAACTGCTACATTGAGGAGAGGGATTTGAGGTATCATTTTAGTTCAGGATTCCCCAACCCTTTTCAAACAATAGTTTTTGAATGACCCTGGGCATACCTGTCTCTAACCATGGAACATTCTAACACATCTGCCCAAGAGAAATAAAAACTAGCAGGATTCTTGGTCTGGCTTTAACCGTGTCAATTCCTCCTCCACTGAAAAAGCAGCGCCTCAGTTACTGACCACACTTCGAACATTTCATAAATCCCTCTCAGAGGATTTCTTAGCGTTTGATTTCTTTCAGCCAAAGTCTAAGTCACTGCAAGACCGAGGCATCTTTTGAAGGCTGACATTTGTGGGTCCTGAATGTTCTTTGAATTTTACCAGCATTTGTGTCTAATGCTCCCAACCCGAATCCCGCATCCCCCCTTCCCCTTGAGTAGCCTTTAAAAATGATACTCACACTTGTTGCCTCGGACAGCATAAGCTAGCTTAAGTTCTGGATAAAATTTGCCCATCTGTTCAATCACCTTTCCCGTCTGAAGAGCCAACTCATAAGTGGGTGAGAGGCACAAACACTGAAAAGCAAAACATACAGGCTAAGATGCCCTTCAGGGTATTTTAGCAGAGCCACTTAGTAAGGAAGCCTCATACTGTTTATTTCAATGCAGCACTCAAACACCTGTTTTCAGGAGCAGGGGCAGACAGGGACAGAGGATCTTTACTTTTCCAAAACCCCAACAAATGCAATGAAAGGCAAGGGACAAATCCCCTCCTGCCCCCATCTTTTGATTACAAAACACTTCACAGAAGTCTTTATGGTTGTTACTATAGTAAGCTGGCAACCTCAGTGTTAAGGTATTTCTGAATATGTACTCTGACTTGGGCAAACACTCACAGGGTGGCTTATCTCTTTTCAGATAGATAGATGTAGATGTAGCTTTTCTAATATAATCAAGGCTCAGGGCCGAAGTATTGTTCAAATCTGCTCAAACAAAGGAAGGGCTTGAGATTCCAGTTGGAAGCTTTCCCCTCCCTCCAAAGGCCTGCTAGTTTTTTGGTTTTTTTATGCACTAAAAGACATCGGTTCTCCAATGGTGCACTAGTCAGGGAACTCTCACCCACCAAACCCTTACCTGGGGGTATTTGTTCAACGGTTCCATTTGACTGAGCATAGCCAGGACGAAGGCAGCGGTTTTACCGGTGCCAGACTGAGACTGGGCGATCAGGTTCTGTGGGCTGCATTATGACAGAGCAGGAATATTAAAAATCAATTTTGTTTTTAAAATGACTAACAGGCTAAGTTCAAGGATTGGTGTGATGATGAATTTAAATACCAACTCTGTAGCAAAACGACATTTCTTTCTTTTTTAGTTTTTTCTTATAAACAGACAAATCATCAAATAGAAAACGAGAAAATCTTACACAAACCCCCTAATATTTAACAAAGTTGAAACAAATAAATTAACAGACAACAAACAAAAATACCTAGGCTCTTTGTCCCTTTCCAAGTCTGTCTGAAGTTGTTACCTTTGGCTTTCTTTTAAGCACAAAGTCTATGATTCTCTCTACAATTCTGGGTCTGATTTACTTTGCATCATTTCATGTCCATCCAGGGCTACAACAGTCTATCCCATCAATTAACCATAATTTATCTAGTCATTTTCCAACTGTTGGCATAGATTTTTTTTAAATTTTTTGTACAGCTAGATTCTGTTTTCTTTTTTATGATTAAGGCCCTACGATTAAGTACCTTTGGACTTCTTACTGTATGTATTACAAGATTATTTTCCAAAATCTTTACATCCCTCTAAAGTCACACCAATAATGTAGCAGAGGCCTCTTTTCTCCATAGGCCCTGATTTTTAATATTTTTCCCCCTATTTAGGGGGAGGGGAAGATCATTTTAGTGGGGATAAGGTGACGTATCTTAAGACTTCCTTGATTTTGTATTTCTCTGAAAATTTTAATGTTTCACCTTGTATTTCCTGCTTCAAAAATTATCTGTTCATACTCCCAGAAAATTATTCCTCTGGGGAGAGCCTATTAATCTTATAGATATGTATCAGTTCCTTATTAACTCTGGAGATCAGACCTTCGTTTGGTATCATTTCAGTTACCCAAGTTTGCTTTTGGAGCCATCTCCAACTCCTTCACCCTAATATCTAATCAGCTGACTTATCCACATTCACAACTGTGCTATAAATATGCTTTTTGGTACCACTTCAGTCGTATTCTTAATATTCTGTATGTTGTCTCCGAATCATTATGTTTTATGTAACTATATTTATAGCTTCTCTTTTGCAGAGTCATTTCTTTCCATGTATATTAGTTCTTGTTTTAATACTTTGTTCAACTCTACAATATATTCTCTCATTCATCTTTTTTGTTGAATTTATCATGTAATTACACTGAGGTGTTAACATTTCGTACTTCTTGATTAGGAAATAGCAAGAAGCCATTTTTTCTTGCAAGACTGAGGTTTTCCTTTGTGCATTTTACTACAAAATTATTGGGTGGGCATGTATTTCAAACACAGATGCTTTAAAACCAACATCCTTTCTTTTCAAATACACTTAAATGTTTTGGGATTAAATGCGTTTCTTATAAATAGCATACTGATAAATTCTATTTTAAAATCAATTCTTCGGTGTTTGTCATTTTTAATTATCAAGTTTGTCTATTCTTCATACTGTTATTATTCTTGTGATTAAGCCAATATTAACTCAATGAACCTACTCTAAAGAACATTCTTCTGCATTTTACTACTAGCAATGAAAATTCTTTAACCTGGAGTTTCCCTTTATCAATGAGAGGAGCTCTGCTTTGGGACTCCCCTGCCCTATTCTCCTCTCTTATTTTCCCTCTTTCCATTTTTCTGTTTTTCTGAAAACTTCTGAAACATTTGGTGATTTAGCCAATGTTACATTATGTAACACTTTTGTTAGCAACAAGTCTGTCTGTCCTTGAGAAGGGTGAATTCTTTCAAATACCTAATTAGGAGTGGGACTTCTGACTGTTCTTCCAAGACCCGTTTTGAATATTTCTGCCTCTCATCTCTTACAGCAGAAGAGCACACTGAGTTCTGCTGGTCAGATAATCTGACCAGTGATTTTTGCCTCTATTTACCATTTCTCCCTTTTGTCCCTCATCCTCTGTGGCTTCGGCCAGTCCAGGCTCAAGGGTTCCTGAACTCCTCCTGGATGCCTGGGTTTTCTTCCCTGGTGACAGAGCTCAGCTATGTCTGGTCCCGTTCAGTAGTGCTGGTTTCTACTTGGGTATTACTGCTGCCTATTATTACCAATTCAAGAAAGCTTTCTTTGACAATTTCTTAGACTGCCATTTCAGTTCTCTATTTTCAAACTTTCTAAGAGACACCAGTAATCCCGAGATGCCTCCTCTCTGCTTCCTAACCCATTATCTGTATTCCCTACCACAGATAGCACAGAGTCCTCCATCATGCTCTAGGCTACCCTATATTTCTATAACAATTATCTTCATTTCATTAATGGTTTTAGTTTGAACAAAAGTAGAAGTTAAATATTTCGGGTTAATAATGTATTAAAAATACTTCATAGAAGAGATATGTTGAGTCTCAGGTCTTACTGGAGGGACGTTCATAATGATATTAATCTATGGTCTTAAAAATGATACTCGCTAAACCATACTTCTGATAATAGGCTGCAATTAGAAAGAATTGAAACTCTATTATGAAAGGACTAAACTGTCTAGATACATACGGTTCAGCAAGCATCATGGGTAGTGCATTCTCTTGTATCTTAGATGGCCGGTTAAAGCCCATAGCATAGACCCCTTGCAGAAGTTGTGGTTTCCTGGAAGGAATATTATGAAAATGAGTCATCATTCCAAATCACAGTAGGTAAGTGATTATTAAACATCTTTCTATTCTACTTCCCAACCAACAAGGAGTGGTCCGTAGCACTACAGCCAAACACTTCTCCAGGATATTAACACCAGCACCTTCTCTCATAATTTCAACCTTTAATAGCTTCTTTAATTGAGAAAATTCAGAATAACTCCTTTTTCAGGACAACAAATAAATTTCTATCCACCCACAAATCAAGCCAGGCCTGGATGTCCAGTCTTTCTTAGCAATTGCAGGAGTGATGACTAAAGTAATTCATAGCAAGAAGTTGAAAAAGAACAAATATTTAAATTGAAGTTATTTCTCATTATAAAAATATTTAAGTTTTATAAAATAGGAATGAAGTTCTAATTACTCTCAATACAAACACTTAACAGAGTTAGATATAGGTCAGGGTAAGGAAGTATATAACACTAAGGCCCAAGTTGGGTTGTAAAAGATTATAATACAATGACAATAACCTAGTTTGAAGTCTAGGTCTCACCTGACTCAAAGACCTAATCTCCCTTAAAGGGGAGACAATTTCAGGGAGGGATCTTAATTCTCTGAAAGACTTATTCTTGTCTATGGTGACCAATGTAAGATTGGAAATGTCTTTGCTTAAATTAATTAAGAAAAGGATATCTTTGGTCACCTTTTATCAGATTGAAAGGAGAACAAAGGTGGCAGTGGGATGTTGGGCAGGCTCCTGGGGCTGTGGAGGCCATTATCGGCTACCACAGGCCATCTGCCCTGTGCTCAGTTTGAACTGAAGTACAGGATTGGACTGGGGAAGGAGAAGGCAGTCAGAAACCTATTCCTGGGCTCCAACAGCCTAGAGGTCACTTTCTTTAGTTCCCAATTCAAAGATTGTGGAGTGAGAGTTGCATTTTATACTTAAAAAAATTACCACATTATGTTTTTCTAATCTCCGATGATTAAAGTAATTTTAATTAAATTTTATGGTTTAAGAATACCTGTTGCATTAAAAAAAATTTTCTAACTCTTGAATAGGCTGAAACATAAATAACATAAATGTAAGCTTAAAAAACAATTGAGGGGTGATTAGATCCATTAAAGTATTTTTTCTGATTGTGTGCTAGCAAAACACTAAATTTAAATGGTACACCTGTGCTTCTACTCCGCTATTTCCCGATTACCATAAAATCTATGTTGGCTGTTGCTGGGAGAGAACGTTCTGATTGGCAGCAGTAACTCGAATTCTTTCTCAAAGCAGAAATGCCTGCATGTTAATAAACTGTCCCGGACAGATTCTGGCTGAAATGCAGAGCACAGTTTTCTTTCACAGTAGCAGAAAGTGTTGATGGGACATTAATTTGATTTCACAAACAGGTAGTTCCTGTTCACCAAATGTCAAGGAAAAGAAGAAGAAATGAGCAGCTAGGGAGTAATCACGTGAGAGTGCTCAGATCACTCCTTTAACTAATCCTGCCAGTTGTTAGTCCCTTTAACTACTTACTAAGCCAAATCATCCACATTTAGGAAGTGGATTTTTTTCCCTACATCTGGCTTGGAATTCACAGGCTTTCTAAGGACATATTCTGCCTGAAGCCTCTCCAAGTGAAACCTTTCAGTGTTCTCCATTTGGAAGCAGAGTGCCACAAAGCTCGATCTTTTGAACCTGTTGCCAAGGATACTCTGAGGAGTAATGGAATGAATGCTCAGTCCGAGTGCTCCCACTGTTTAACCACTTTCCTTTGACACAATAAATTATATATTTCAGACATAAAACAAATCAAGTGGATCATCAAATTCAAGCTTAATTCTGTATCCATTTGTCTATGAACTAGAGCCAAACACAAGAGAATCTATCTTTCAAGGAGCCCAATTTGTCATTATAAAAAGAATTCTTTCTTAAAAAAAAATTTTTTTTGAAGTTGGAATAATCAATAACAAATTCTTCTCCGGTGTGGAAAAGCAGAAGTGAAATAGAGACAAGTCTGGGAAGAAGCTTGGCCCTAGGCTACTGACTGTGGGCTGCTGTGGCTACTTAAACAGAAGTTGTCCAAGGAGGACAGAGTGGAATGTGTTTGATAAATTCTGCTAAAAAGAAAGAAAAAGGATCTCTAACAGAACTACTCCTCGATCTTAGCTGTCAATTTTTATTAGCAATCTGATTGGGTTCCACTAAGCTCCACTTAAATGCTCTTAAAACAAAGTACAAAAGTGTAATGTATTAACAAGGTAGAGTAGTCCAGGCAGCACCAGCACTGCAGCTCTCTAAGTGCACTGATTATGAACCTTAAAGCCCTGGGGACACAAATACAAACAAGCAAGACAACCCTGCCCTCAAGGAGTTTATATTCTAATTAGGGAAGAAGACCAGAGTTCCAGTGAGAGTGGGAAAGGGAGCCAGCATGCAGCTTGAGGGTAAGACCTTGGCTGCCTGGTTTGGAGAAGGCTACCAAATTCAATTCAATAAGACACATCATTCCTTTGCAAGGATGTACTAGGTGTTAAAAGGCTATATGAATGAAAACATCACAGCTTCTGCTCTCAAAGATCTGCCATGTAATTGGGGAGGGGAGGCAAAACAAGGACATGACTAAGCATAATATATACAAGTGGAATGAAAGTAAGAGGCAGACAAAATTCTAAAAGATTTGAAAAAAGACAGTTTTCAGTTTGGGGTCTGTAATACACAACTAACACCTTCCAGTCTGAATTTTCTGTTGCTCTCACAGTTGAGCAACATTCATAAGAATGATATTATTTATGCAAGTTATCTTTGTTCAATAATTATTTTTATTTCTGCCTTGTCTCTATACTCAAACACATGTTCCTTGTTCACAGAAACACTGGGGAAGATGACTCAAGTCCAATATTAGCCAATTAAAAACAATGAATGCCAAGCACTTATCAGGAATGAGGCAGCTTCTTCTGGGAAGTGGCTAAGGGTAGATCTGTCATCATTGTTCTCTGCCTGATGCTGCCAATACAATAGCCAGTGATCATCACACAACTGCTCCCCAGGAAAGGCCTGAAGGACCAAGGGGTGGTATTGTTGAGGGAGCTTGTTTTCCAGCAAGAAAAGGAAGTAAAAATGTCTAATCAGTCCCACAGGAGTTGAGGGAGAATCCCTGGGAGGTGTCTCTTGGGCAAGGGGCAGCTAGTGGGCCAGGGAAGCACTAAGAGAATGGCCACATGAGGCCACTCTGCCCAGCCTGCAATGAGCATCAGTGCCCAAGCAGCCAGCCGGCTGCTCCTATCATGGTCCTCTGCTAACGTGAGAGACCTACCATGGCATGGCCAGCTCGTGGACTCGATGTGGCCCAAGCTCTGTGCTGCACTAAGGAGAGAAACAGCCTTTGGCCTCAAGGAGCTTGCATCCTATCAAGGGAGCCAGTGAGTCAACACACACACACACACACACACACACACACACACACACACAC